TTATGAACTATTATGTTAATTAGGAAATTAATATGAACATGCAGATTTTAACTAAAAACTAATCAGGTCTCTGCATAGCTCTAGAGCATCTATGTACTGGGTGATGAGTGTACTATGTACCAAGTGTGATGATTAGTGCTTGAGATATTAGAGGAAAAGCTGAAAATTAATGTGATTAATATGCACAAATATTTACCCAAAAAATAATCATGTCTCGGCATATCGGTACTCCTAAATATCTATGTACCTAGTTTCATTGAAATGTAATGATTAGTACTTGAAATATCAAAAACTGAAAATTGATTAATTATGCAAATCAGGTAATTAATATGCATGACAATAACCTAAAGACTATCAGGTTTGTACATTGCCCTATAACATATATGTACCAAGTTTCATTCAAATGTGATAAGTACTTGATATATCAGTGGAAAATTGACTAATAATTATGCAAAATAGGCAATTAATATGCACTGATTTTTACCAAAAACTCATCAAATCAGTGTATTAGCCCAGAGCATCTATGTACCAATTTTCTTTAAAATCCAATGAGTGGCTCCTTAGATATCAGTGAAATAAACATGGAACAGCTAAAAATTAGCTAATTACCATATAAATTATTAGCGTATTAGCCCAAAGCATCAAGTTTCATCAAAAACCAACATATGGTTCTTTAGATATCAGTGAAAAAGGCAGACATACAGACACAGGAGTCAGAAAATAATTAAAATATTGACAGAAAAGCTGAAAACTGACTAATTATTATGACTGACTAATATAATGGTACCATGTTTCATTGAAATGTGATTAAAACTTAGGATATTAGTGTAAAAGCCAAAGATTGGCTAATTATGCAAATTAGGTCAGAGATCTCGCTACGCTGGTCGGCAGTGGTCAGCCCGGATCAGCACTCAATATTAGCGACCATCACGGAAATGCTTCCAACCACGCCTATTGCCTGATTTTGAATAATTACTTACCGACCAACAGGCATCCTGTCAGTCATGGATTATAATTTGTAAACAATGCACCTAGCCGCACGATGTGGTAGCGGCTAGTCACTTTTGTGAAATTAGCACCTCTTTGTTTGTTTGTAAGTAAATACTTTCTGATGATAGACACAGTCTTGAAAGCTAAAAAAATATGTTAATTGCGTGATTGGGTAAAATACATTCAAATTGTTATCATCATGAATCATGTAAAAACTTCTCTTTCAAAACCTATTTTACCTTTTAAAAATTTAATCACCTCTTTCAAAAACCATTATGCAATTTTTAACTGAAATCGATGCCAACACGTCGTGCTACAACATCACTTTACTTCATGCAATGTAATTTTTATGATCACTACCATTCAGAAAACTACCGAACTACCGTTCTACCGGGATTACCATGCAGCATTCTGATTGGTTAATGGCATTCTTGACCCATCGGGTCAAAGGACACAAACATCATGGTGGGTCTGTGTTTTTTACCGAAGCGATCGAGTGTTCAAAAATAACCACTCCCGATAAAACTAAGGAAAATTTTACATATACAAATGTATTTCACATCAAAAAAAAAGAAGTAACATTTTTGCATGACATCATGACTGAGTAAGAGGAATTATTGGTATACTGTAGAATACTTTATTTTCGCTTGGAATTTATTTTCGCTATTTTCGCTGAAGGGATGATTCCGTGAAAATAAAATCCAGCGAATATACTTTTTTTCCTATATTTCACATTAAACTCATGAAAAATCAGTGAAAATAAATTCCAAGCAAAACGCCCAAAAAGCCTTTTCAGCGAAAATTAATTCCAGCGAAAATAAAGTATTCCACAGTAATCGAAGGAAGTTATTGTCACGTTGTAACTTTGATGATCGGTTGGAAATTTTATTTATTTGTTCATTCATTACTGTTGATGTAAACATTTTAGAAGTTGTAAAAATAACAAGCCATGCATGGCACAGTCCCCGTTAGTTATAAAATTTAAGATATATAGTTTTGTTTATAGTAATATAGTTGGAATATAACTATGTCAGGAATATGATTTTTTAACATTTATCTGATTGTCAAACAAGTACTTGTCCATATCGAGATATATTGCTCTGGAACAGCATTCAAAATCAGCCATTTTTAATACATGTATATATATACCGTACTCGACCGCGTCAGCGCCCAGGGGCCTCAACCCAGAAAATCACGATTTTGTAGGGGTGGGCGCTTACCCGAGCACCCCCCTCGAAAAAGAGTGCAAATGAAAATTTTGATTCATCAAGTGACAGATTACGTCTTTGAGGGAAAATCAAATTACTAAATTAGTTGCGTCGTCATTGATTTTCACAATGAAGAAACAGAAATGATCACAAAAAATACGCACATTTTATTACAATATTAATTACGTACCACCATAATTTACGGAATTAAAAACATTTGAGTCTGTTGGAACACAGTCAAAGTCAAAATTGTCATATTATTTCCACTGACGAAGTTGTTGGATCGTACGCAAACTCTCGATGAAAATCACTTTCCGCCATGATGCAATTGCAGATTTGACCTACAGCAGCGTCCTTTGACCTAATGGGTCAAGTTGGTTATTAACTAATCAGAATGCTGTGTTGTACTGACGCAATTCTTCGGAAATTCCCGAAGACTTTCCGGTAACGCAATGCAGAAGTGAATTATCGATGTCGAAGTACGATCTGTTGGAATTGATTTCAGCGAATAAACAATATGGTTTTTCAAAAAAACTAGTAACTAGCCATTTTTGGCTACCATGTTCTACGCATTCACAACATGTTCACAGCGATCGATATCCACGCTCAGGGATCTGCCCACGCTGGTCGGCGCCGGTCGCTAGCGACCGGCACTCAGAATTTTCGACCAGGACAAAAAGTTGGCGACCGGCACTATTCTATTTGTTTATGATACACACAGGATGTCTGCCACTGGACCATCATTCTATTGTCCTTGTTGGTTTTAACACACAACACAATGCAAAAAATTAACACACAACAAAACTTTAATGAAAGAAGACACCGCTGTTTTTGTTTTAACCTCCGATTGACATTCTGTTAGTTTTAACAAATGAACCAGATCGGAATAAGTCATACATCAAGATAATGGAAGGGAAGACAACGATAAATAAACAGAAAGAAGGATTACCATTGCAAGTTTAGTTGTGTGTAGGATTTGTCGAGTTGAACAATAACTTGCTCACTTCACCGGCAGCGATGCATCAAGCTGTCGTTCGTTTAATCTGCACTTCATTGATGTTTTTGGCTTCATGACTCGTTCATAAAATTAAATTCATAGGCTATATTCAGTCAGCGATACAAGGAATACTTATTTCTCACTATTAATGTGATTTACTAGCATTCCATTGGAAAAGAAAACAATTAAATTCTTGATTCCACTTTGGCCGTAACAATCGGATGACATGCTTTGACAAAAAAAAATGGCTGCCAGGTCAGAGGTCAATGTCTCAAAATACGTATTTTAGACGTGATTGCGAAACTAAAGTGTATATATTTTTTCACTTTTATCAAAGCAGATTAATTTTACATTGAAATATTTAAAAAAAAGTTAAAATAATTAAAGTAGTTAAATCGTAGCTAGTAGAATGGAAAAATGAATATTAATTAGCTCATGAATATTAATTAGCGACCGGCACTCAAATCAGGCTGGGCAGAACCCTGCACGCTGTATCATATAAAAACGATTACCATGATTCATTATGCAAGACCAAGTTTTAAACTAGTTGCATTTTGAAGGGACGGGCGCTTTGCCGAATTTGACCTCATATATAAAAATTGCGCAAAAGTGGGGGGTGGGCGCAAGCCCGGGCATGGGCGCTAACGCGATCGAGTATGGTATATATATACAACATGATGTATAACGAATATATAAAATTTGAATATAATCAGTCAAAGCATTTAAGAGATATGTTTCTAGAAGCCCAATCATTAAAACAAAATGGCAGCCAGTCAGCCATTTTGAATCCAATCTGACAAATAAAATGACGTGCATCAGGAACCTGTAATGTCTAATGTATGTTATAAGTTTGAACAGAATCCATCCACAAATGCAATAAATGCTTGATATTTGAGGATTTTTTTAGCACAAAAATAGCCACCATTTGGCCACTTTGAAAAGGATTGTCAAACCAATATATCCGTATATCTATGACATCATGTATAATGAATATTAATAATTTGAACATAATCAGTCAAAACAAGTCAGACATAAGGGTCTGGAAACCCATTCATTAAAACAAAATGGCCACCAGACAGCAATTTTGTATCTGATCTGAAAAATAAAATGATGTGCATCAGGAACCCGTAATGTCTAATGTATACACCACGTTTGAACAAAGTCCACCTGTAAACAGCCAAGAAATGGTTGAGTTTTATGATTTTGTTAGCACAAAAATGGCCACCATTCGGCCATTTTAAATAGAATCGTCAAACCAATATATTTGTATATCTATGACATGATCTATAATGAATATTTAAAATTTGAACATAATCAGTCAAAGCAAGTCAGAGATATGGCACTAGAACCACATTCATTAAAACAAAATGACCACCAGTCGGCCATTTTGAATCTTATCTGAAAAAAAAATAATGTGCATCAAGGTCCTATAATGTCTAACATATATACCAATTTTGAACAAAATGCATCTGTAAACAGCCAAAAAACGCTTGATTTTGATGATTTTTAGCACAAAAATGGCCGCCATTCGGCCATCTTGAATCAGATCGTGCATATGTATAATATCATGTATGATGTATGTGTGAAGTTTGATTGTGATTGGTCCAGACATTTCTAAGATGCAGACATGGACACACGGAAGTGAAAACATAAGTCCCCATTTTCGGACTACGTCAGAATGGGGACTACCAATCAGGTCTGTGCAATATCCCAGGGTATTTATGTACATGTACAAAGTTTCATTAAATGCTTAAAATTGACTAATTAATATTTAAATTAGGTAATTAATATGCACAGATTCCAACCAAAGCCAAAAACTTACAAATCATTATGCAGATTAGATAATTAATGGGCATTGAATTTTACCCAAAACTAATCAGGGATGTGCATTTTTGCAAGTATGTACCAAGTTTCATAAAAGTCCATTACCTAAGTGGTTCTTTCGATATCAGTGAAACAGTCATGAAACAGCACAAAAATTTGCGAATTATAATGCAAATTAGATAATTAATATGTTCAGATTTCAACCAAAAATTAATCAAATCTGCACATAAGCACATAAGTTTCATCAAAATCCAATACTTAGATATCAGTGGAACGTATCAGAGAACATTATCTAACCTTACTATGTACAGCAAGACAGCTGATAGCATCCGTATTTTTACTGAGTATGGTTTGTAATTCATTTCCAATTCTTTCATATTTCAGTTTTGGTTCATCCTCTATAGATGTATCATCATCATCATCATCCTCATCATCATCTGCTTCTGATGATCCAGATATTTCTTCCTCTGTCTCCTCAGAATTCTGAAATAATAACTGAAGCTTTTTAGAGTGCTAACACAATTTTGACATGAACATTTTCTGGAATTCTATAATTTGTTTTAGAATTTAGAAGAGACATTTCATTTTAATTATGTTATACCCATTGCAACCAATTTCCAATTCAAAATTGCAACCAGATTAGGGTTCAAAGGTTGTATAAATAAACCATAAATTTATTGTTTTTATGATAATAATTTATTTGTAACATTGTAATTTATATATTTGTACTAGCCTAATCACATAAAGAATTTGTAGTTTGTTTTTTATATACTGAATCCTTAACAGAAATACACTAGCATAGAGTCACTACAAACTATGGTTGCTATAGCAACTGAAGAGTGTTGATGATCACAATAACTGATTGGTCTAGATTCAAATTTGTTGTTACAACTAAATGTATTGATTTTAATTTCAGAAAAAAGTTTTAATTAATAAAGCAAAATTACCAAAAATATTCAAGTCATCATAAATAAAGTCTCAGCCAATAATTTAACATTGATATTTGTAAATGTGTTATTTTGCCACAAATTTCTGGTGTCAGAAAAAATTACAATATTTTGAACATTAAACTCCTCAAGATAGGCAATCAAAGTTAATTTAATGGCATTGTATTCAATATGTGTCCCATGCGGTGTTCTGATGTATATACACAACACTTGTAAAATACATTGAAAAATTGAAAAGTGCACTTGCAATGATCACCAACATTAAGCTAAACTTTGTAAATCAAATATTTTAAAAGTGATAATTTCACAAAGATCCTAAAACACGAAGCCACAGAGACTTACACAAAATTATGTCTTCACGAACACCTTCAAGGTGAGAAATTCCAAAAAGTCCTAGCAGTGAAAAATGATTTATAGTACACTAATATCTTGTTAGGATTACCATGCACAGCTGATAGTACTTATAGAATGGGATACATGTAGTTGTATAAGATATCAATCCTGTATTTGGATGTTCTATGATTGTTGGTGCAGACTAACCCTGGTCACCAAGGGAGGGGGAGGGGACACAGCTCACTACACATACAAACACTACCCCAAAGGATATACTGTAAAACTGATTATTTTTTTCTATCAGGAAATTTTACGATTTGATGATTGTGTGGCATTTGTGAACTGCTACAAAATTTCATAATTTTTAGCCTCTCGAAAACTTGTCTCTTGCAAAATTAAATGTACTAAATGTGCCTGAACCCAGTGTAAACAAATACATCTTAAGTTTTCGAATTCTGAAGTTGACCGAGGTTCGTCAGGTGGCCCAGTTTGTATGAACTCATCTCAAATGTTACACATTAATGCCATGAATTGCTAGCCAAGAGTAAACGAGGGAAAATGCTGCCACGTAATTGCAATCACGAGGCAAAAGGTGATAGAAGGACTGTGGTTAGAGGAAGTGAGACGGGCACTCCAGAGCGATAGATTCAGTGGTAATGTATGAACGAACGACGTGCCCGCTCTGAGAAGAAGTCAAAACAATGTGACGAAAATGTCAACAAATCGACTCAAACGTCTTTCCGAGTTGAACACGAGTATCACTTCGGGTGTACGTTCCTATGACTACCATAAACACAAGTGACATACAATGCATCAGCCAAACATTTTACCAAATTTAACTAGTTCAACGTTATTCAGAACATCACCTTTTTCTCTTCCGGGATCTCTTGGTCAGCCATCTTGACTGACGTCATGGGTCACAATTTAATATGCAAATATATGCTGGAAATAAATTGATATGGTCGATTCACTGTCAATATCACTCCGCTGAAAGAAAACGTTCCTTCATTTTAAATTATCATAGATTAAGTTTAGCATTATTATTCTACAGCTGTGCAGATAAATTATTCTAAATATCAAGATTACTAATTTCTTTTAGTTTTGAAAGAGTTGCGTCTTTAATTAGTTTGGCGGATTTAAACAATTTAGCCTATACAGTGGAAGGCCCTGTTGTATATTTTAGACTTATTTGCATATTCGATGTCTGCTTTCTCTGGCTGTCCTTTTTGTAACAGATTCGAGTCTGCATTCTTTCGAAAAAACCCTGGTAAGTATCGCCATTATGAAAATCGGGCTGATTTGGGGACATTGTTTGTTTTCTTAGTGTGAATATTATTAATTTGTGATATAATGAGATTTCCTATTAGCATAATTTATTAAAAACCGCACGTGTGTTATTCTGATTGTTATTAAGTGGCCTATGGCAGGTAGCTGAAACAGTTTTTTTTTCACCGTTTGCAAGCACGGCCTCATTGAAATCATCGTCGCTTACATCAGCTGCAGTTAACTTTCAGTACAGATAACTTTGCGGTGAGCTTATATTTTAAATTTTGAAATTTATATTATAATATTTATGCAAATTATCATAATTTATAAAAAATGTGTGCGTTAATTCGCCATTTTATTTGAGTACATTTGTTTGTGTGATTACGGCAACGGGGGTGGCGGCAGCTAACCGGTCATCAGACGTCGGCTCCTCATTTTACTCATCATCGCTGAGCTGTTGTTGATTGATGAATTATTCATCTACAGTTTTCCATTTTCTGCGATGAAGACGAGATGTTTTGGAAACGAGGAGCATCGATGATGGTTGCGTCAATTTTACCATCAATTGCCTTTGTTATTACGAACGCGTAACATTACTGTCTGTCTGGTAACTTGACGTTTACTCGACATTATCAGCAAACATGGTTTTCCTTTCAAGACAGGGGCACATACAGGGAGTTCACAGGGGGCGAACTGAAGGATGATATGATTGAAAACAAATCAGACTGGCTGCGTTGCATTTTGCGTGCGATCGCGAACATTTTCAGCGCTAGACAATGAATGAATATGTACTTGATCACTGTCAGATGCGATAAAAAGTATATGCATAATCCAAAACATTTAGTTTACTTCTTTTCTTTGACGTGATTAATTAAAAAAGATATAATAATTAACTCTTTACCATGTAAAATAAAATATTTCACAAGTTTCGTACATATTTTAAGTACTATCATTTTATCGACTGAGTTTCATCGCTGGAAAGTGAACAATAAAGCCTAAATTACCACTCATGATTGACTGTCTAATTGATTGACTTTGCTTTTGTCATAGTATTCTATCTCTGGTATTATTTTTTTTATTTATTTATTTTTTATTTCTGTGTTGCCTCATTGCCAGTTTTATGAACTAACCAAATTCATTTTAAGTTAACAGTGTTATTTTATTTTGAATGGTTGATCTTTTGGCCTTACAACACGAATCACTTTGTTCTCTTGTGTGACTGATTTGACGTACAACGGCTCCATGCCCCTGGGCATTCCATTCCTGCACTGATTATTCATTAATCTCCAAACAGAAACAAAAGCAGTGTAATTTTGCTATATAGAGTTTGTCTCATGAGATTTTGTACTGTTTCCCCATGTCTTCATTTTTAAATTAAAATTGCCCCGAGTCTTGAGATCATACTTAGCACGTAGGTCATCCTTAGGGGAGATAGGACTTAAAAGAGAGATGCATGTACATAAAGTAGAGTTACATTGAAATGACATTGGACATTGTTTCCTTCTCATCGCATTCTGTCCATGCTTTCTAATAATGCAAGTGTTTTAATTTTCTTTATTGACAATTGTAATGATTGGTAAACTCATTTGGCAATATGTAAAGGTACTGTATAATATTCCAAGTAATATGAGTATCCATTTTTGATGTCTAATGGACGAGAGGAGCTCAACAGCTGTGGATTATTGTCAGTAACCACCTGAACTCCACTTGTATTGTTTGCTTGCTTAACTAGTATTTGTGTGGAAAAAAATTGTTGCATCCATGGAGATGTATATAAACATAAATATGAATTAATTAAATAGTTAGTTCTGAGAATAAATTGTATAGTCATATGATAATTTTATGAATTTATATTTCTATCATTTAATTATTTTTTTGTTTACTGTACATTAATTATTATGAGGTTATTGTCAGAATATCTCAAAGGCTCAGTTGCAAATACGTATTTGTACGAAATATTTGTATATGTTAAGTTTGTAAATTACAACAATGTGCAAGTAAATTTTGTTTTTTACTGTTAGGACTCTTTAGTGGGAACTCTTTTATAAATGTAGCAGCTTTTGATTGTGAAAAAGCACATGTTAATAGACGTTTTTCCACTCACTATGAGATCTCACAAAGTGCATGAATGGCATGGACTGAACCGAACTTTAACTACAAAAATAAAACAATTTGATTTTAATTTAAATTTCTTTTTTTAAAGCTCGGAATGTTGGAATGCTGATCTTTGAAGAAGGGAATATTATGTTGTGATACCCTTACTTCATCAAAATTGCTCATCATCAAATGTGTACAGCATATCAATTGTAGAAATACTATCAAAATATTTTTACATTTGACACAATGTTCCGAGATTATGACCTTTGTTTGTGTGTTTTTTTTGTTTGATTTCACACATAATGCACGATCTCACATAGCTATATATCTTAGGTTGACACATAAATTGTAGGAATAAAAATAAAATCTATTCTAAGATATTTTACCTGTTTGGATTCTCGGTGAAATACTCTGGCTTGGACAATCCTATTGTAATTCACATAGCTTTATGATTATATGTTAATTAGTTTATTATTATGAAAATATATATTACTACATGTTAATAAAAAAAGTAGATCCAACCATGACGTAATTTGTATTCTGAATTTTAAAGTTTTTAAGTTTACTGTCTCCTGCATTCACTAGCCAGACGTTCCATCAAATTTTATTGGGCATAATAAAAGATCGCTGTTTGGTTTATTCTGATATTATAAATGTGGCTGGCAATTTATGGCAATTGATTAATCAAAAAATATTAATAGGCACAAAATGAAATTCTGTGAATTTTTTGTTGTTGTAAATTCAAACAATGTAGATGCATCTCTTTATTGTTGTAATTGTTGTGCCTGGGGTTTTTTCATGGAAGTCTACATGTAGAGATCTTTATCTTCTTTCGAGAATACCTGGTAGACTGTCAGTGATTCTGTGATGTGATTTCAGGTTGCGAACACCTTGCCCAATATATAGACTTTTCATCAAGTTCAATTTCAGACACCCCCTCCCCTCAAATGTCTATGCATACATTTATTTATTTATTTTTCTTATGGCATATTTTTTGGTATAAATTTTGATATCATATAATTATGTCATAACTAAAATCAAGGATGTTTATTATAAAGTTCTTCACAAAATATGAGATATAAATATAATAACCAATCGAAAAATATAAAAATTAATATTAAAATATGTTGTTATAAACAACTGAATTTTTCATACAAGCTAGAAATATTAGACTGTAGTTATGAATTGATATTATTTACAACTCAGTTCGCAAATACAGTTAAATCAGAAAATAACATTTTTGAAAACTTTTTTTAAATGAAAAGATGTAAATCCAGGGTATTAAGTATTGAACGTATCTTAAATTAATTTCATATCTTGAAAAAGTTTGAAATTTGACAAATTCTAGGAATATCCTTCCAAATGGGTATTGTATTGTCATGTTTGATTGTTACTTGTTTATTTCAGGTCATAGATTAGTATTCTTAAATTTCATTCAAATGATTTACTGTTTATAATAACTTTGTATAATATCTGAGTTTACGCATCCTAAATTCACAAACAATCATACTTAATTAAAATCAGAAATTTATAGGTCTGTGAGAACCCCAAAATCTGAAAAAATAAAATTTATGGTTTGAATGAATTTATGACACTAGCAACAAATCATGGATGGCTCAGGGGATGATCCCTGGAAGGCCAAATCCTCTAGTCAAAAGTCGTTCATTAACTAAAAACTTGGAGTTTGGAGGAACCTTGAATAAGGTCCATAATTGCTTGTCTTTGATTGGTTAACGCCATGAAATTATTAATGGCCAAACATGTGGTTTTCTTGGCGATGTGCGCTATATATATCAGCTCTCGCTTTCACAATTTGCGCAAAAATGGGCAGTAGAGACAACAACGACATTCAATGTCTGACACCGTTGCCAAGCACAAAAAGGATTTCTCAAAAAAATTATTACAAAAAATTTTTAAAAACAATAGATAAAGTAGATGATTTTGTGATTAATTAGATGCAGAGAAATCGATAGCTGGCTTTAATAGTAAGAAGAAAAAAAACTTGGTTTAAATTTATACTGTATTTTTTATATTAGAAATACATGCACTCTATAATTGAAATTTGATGAATCTAAAAGATTATGCATACAATGAAAATTGTGCTTTATTGACACCATTAGTGATGCATGTCTGACAAACCAAATAATTATCTACATGTACAATTTGTGAAGAAAAGTCAAAGTTTTAAAATTCTCAAGATTCATCTTGCGATGCATTATAAAAATATCAAATTGATAAATTGCGTACATTGTACATTATTTGATGATGATGTTTTGATAAAGTATTTGTGACGACCATTTTGAACTGGCTATTTAAGGAAATGATGCTGATCTCTGTAATCAGATCATGAGATGTATCCGATAAACCAATTTTGAAATTTTATCATTATTTAGTAGTTTGGTAAAAGTAAACAAGTTACCGATATATTTACTAAAATTTGAGTTATCCAAGTTTATGGCATTAGTTAATCAGAATTATACGAAGGAATTCAGACTGAGGACAAACAAGAAATTGAAATGCAATGACTACGTTTAATTATAT